CATAGGCCCAAATTCCTATTCTCTCTCTCTAATTAGATCAGGGCACTAGGGTTTTTGAAAGCTGCAATGACAAGTTGGCTAAGGGCATCTCCAACGTAGAGCCCTAAAACGGACATGTTATCCGTCCGCGGATAGTGATACGGGAGCCTGCCATCTAATCGTGCCAGCATACATTTCAAAGTGAATTTGAACAAACCGGATGTTTTTCATGCAAAAAGATTATTTTCAATTAAACCGGACAAAGTCCATTATATTTTTGACATGTTTCATTAAAAGAAGGTTTGGGCCCTAACCTCGTCTACATCTTCGCCAACACCCATCCTCCAAATCCGTGTTGCCTCCCCCCCTCCCCCTTCCATGCCTGCGGGCGTGAGACCCTCTAAGTGAAGGTGCCGTCACTAGCAAGGGGGACATGTGGCGCCGCCGTCTCCCATACCCTACGCCTCCTCATCAGAGTCCATGACCTGGCCGTCAGCGGTGGAGATGAGGTCCACGATGATGTGGATGGGCCAGCCTCATGGTCATAGCGGCGTGAACGAGGCACCGTTGTCGGCGTGGATGACGCGCAACTCCCGGCGTTCTCTTCTGCAATCGCCGGTGCTGCTTCCACGTCCGACTGCGGCATGATTACGTTGCAATCGGCGCGAGCACGAGCGGCCTCGTAGAGCGCCTGCTGCTCGGCGACGAAGTTCAGATTCTCCACGACCATGGCCACCATGCCCCCTCGTTTGCAAACTCGTCGTAGAGTGTCCCTACACCAGTCAGTGGTGCGCTAGGAGGGCTATGTTGTACCACAGTTCCTCCTGCGCCTATTAGACGGCTTCGAAGTGTGCTTGCGCCATCTCCATGGTAAAGCCGGTAGGGACCGGCGCTAGAGGGGGTCCCGACTCTTCATTGGAGGCATCCACCATTGTTGGGTTGTCGTGCTCCCCCGGACGAGGTCGTCGGCAGGTGACCCTCTATCCATCGGGCATGACGGGCCTGCCAGGCGGCCGCAAGGCCTGCTAACTCATGCTTTTTCTCTGTCAAGAGTCTCTCCCACGTAGCTCTAGAGCTTGAGGTTCTTGCGGATGTGGTGCACGAATGAGGGTTGAGAGCGGACATGTTTGTGATGCAGATGGTGCTGGGCAAGGCCACGTTTAAATCGAGGGTGCCGGCCAGACAAAGCGGCGGGACGTGTCAATATGCGGGTGTGGATTTGGTTTCTCGATTGTCGTGTTGATTTAATGCTGGTTAGTGGACGAACGGGGCAGTCACTATGAATGTGGTAGATTGCCGTTCCGTTCAGTCACGTTGCTCCGACATTGAACAGGCGTGGAGACTGGGACGCGGGCGGCGCTCTCGTCTGGCGCACCGCTTCAATGTTAGCTCCAGTGAAAGGACGTGTTCGCTCTAGGCCTACATGAATTAACGCTGTGGACCGGCCTGAATACGCGGCAACCACTTCACAAGGGAGAGGCGCGACCGCGGGAGAGGTTTTTGGGTGGAACCTAGGCGGTGACGGACACATACATGACAGCAGTCCGTGCGCCCGTAAGATCCTCTAATTTGTGTCGGTATGCAAGAAAACAAACATCCCAACCGGTCCACATACCAATAAGATACATGGATAACAAACTACATTCGGACGTACGCGGTTGCTCCGTCTTGGAGATGCCCTAATTGTACATTACCGCTGACGTTAGCTGGCTAAACCCCACTGCTTGGTTACCTGGAAGGCATCGACCGCCATTGCTGCCGCTGCTGCGACCTGCGACTTCGCCGTTTCCCTCCTATACAGTCCCATCCCATCCTCGGTTCGGTGAACCCTCAGCGGCTCAACACCTCGACTCTCTCGGTTTCTCGGCCGAGGCGGACCTAGAAAAAAATGTCCCGGTGTCCACGCCTAAATTGCATATGTGTGGACGCCAAGCTATGTTATGCTTAAAACTAACATACTCAACAATTCCAAATATCCAGTAGTAAAAATGCTTATCAAAATAGTGGTCTACTTGAAATCGTAGTTGATTATATGAAGTTTTTCGACCAAGTTCAACAATAAAGCATATAAAGTATGAAGACAAATTTAATCAGATAAGGCTACACTATTTCTGTTTGAAAAGGCTAACATCGAAACATAAGATAAAACATAATGATTGAATTTATAATTATGAATATATATACTTACTTACTACTTCCTTCATTCTAAAATATAGTGTGTCCGCGCTTTCTGAGGTTCAACTTTGACCATAAATTTAACCAACAAGAGATCGACTGTGGCGGGAGAAAAAATTATATAATTGAAAACTTCTTTTAAATATGAATTCACTGGTATAAATTTTGCTCCAGCCGCAGTCGGTCTCGTTGGTTAAGTTTATGGTCAAAGTTGAAGCACGGGAATAGAGGAAGCACTATATTTTGAAACGAAGGGAGTACATTGTGTGGTACTGAGTTGTGCATTCAAAGGTCGAGGAATAATCCATATAAATGAACGTGGACTCAATTCTTACTTACCAACACTAGCAAATCGCAGTAATTCAATTCTTAACTGTAACATCCTTGAAACTAAAAGCCCTACACCTACAAAAAAAATTGTATAGGTACGCACTTGGACAAGATTGTAGCGACTTGCGGTACTTCTTTCATCAATTCTCCAACGATTAGATGATCGAATAGGACATGGCAGCACGGACGCTTCGATGGCGGTTGGGCGGGTGGACGAGGCGACACTGTGACGAATCTATGCAGGGGGAGGCAAGAATCCATGAGTAGGCGCAGGTTTATTAAGGGTTGCAGGCGTAAATAAAAACGATCAAATTTGTTGGAGAATCTTGTGCTTCCTTATCTCTTCAATACAGCTAACAGCACTTCCTGAATCATAGGCACGCAGGCCATGGAGTGCGCCAGAGCCTATAAAGACCAGGAAACGTTTACAGAAGGTGCACATGACTATTTTTTTTTATCAAAGAAGGGCTTGCCCCTTTCGATTTTCATTACTGAAAACCATCACAGAATAACAAAGTATCTAACATAAAACCTGAACTAGGAAAGCTACCAACACGACATAATCCCAGCAAAAGGCCAACACAGGCCGATACACTTACGTGCACATGACTATGCCAATGTTATAGTACAGTTTAATAAAATTGATCGATAGCCTGGGGTGTGGCCAACTGGGTGCCTCAATGGCCAATAGATGGGTCAGACCTGTGCACGGTCGCTTCAGCCGGTGTCCACGTACGAATTTTACCGGTGTCCCACGTAATATATCAGCGATCGCTTAAGGTAATCGGAGATCTTACCCGGGGTCCTGTGACACCGGGTGTGTCTACATGAGTCCGCCCCTCTCGGGCTGCGCACCCAGGCCGCCCCGGTGACGGCGCGATTCGTACCCACCCAGGCCGCCGCCACCGCTAGGCCGAGCCCTTCCTGGAGGTCCGCCGGCGCCGGTGCCGGCGCCGTCTCCGATCTTTCTTCCTGGAGGAACCCCTCACTGAATCCTCGCCCCGTTGCTGCTCTCAGGCTTGGTTGATTGATCCTCCTGCAGCGCAATGCATCTCCGTTTGCTCAAGGCCAAAGCGCTGCTACTCAGGGTACGTAATGGATCTGAAAACTACTATCGATGGCTTTTGTTCACTGCTGCCGTTTGTTCATTCGTACCAATGGAACCAAACAACACCTATTTGACGCTTATTTTCAGCCTAATTCTTTTGCTGCCAACGTTTGGTTGTTTGGAACTTGCAATGTAACCTTCCTTTATGACCACATTACTCTGCAGTTCTGCATTCAATCGAACATGTCCTTTTCCCTTGTTTAGAGGGTAGACCAGTTGAATAACAAACTGCTGCCGATATGATTATGCACATGTTACTTTTTGGGACAGGATAGAGAATCCTGTGTGCTAAATATGTGAGAATAGTAAAACAGAGATCAAAAAGACAATTGACTGGGACTAGTTGTGTTGAATTCGTATATTGAAGCTGTTGCCTATGGTTATATAGTAGGACTGTAGGAGAATGACAGTTAATAATAATGCCATTGTTGTGATGAACTGGAATACTGGATTCACCTTAAAAAGAATGATTGGTGGGAATGACAAATCTTCTTGCTGCAAATGTCGTCTTTCCTGTACAAACGACATATGATGTTCATATTCTGTACATAGGCCTTCTTCAATTTCTATGGCCCTGTATGTATTGACATCAACATTGATTGACATGTCTTAACCAGTATCGCGTATATTGTTTCAGGATAACATCCGTGGATGTACAACTCTCAGGTACTTTCCACAGTGCACTCTATAAACCCCTGTGTTTCTTGCATCCATGATTCCATGGTGTGTCTTTACACTTAACTCTTGGTTTGTCAGTACGGCGCTGCCAAAAGTTGTCACAGTTGGAATTGACTTTGGATGCAAGAATTCAAGAGTTGCGATCATAGATTCCTTGGTACGCAAGCTGTACAGTAACGCGTTCATATTTGTTCAGTTTAGTTTAATAACCTCATGTTATTGGAAGACTACTTGATGAAAGTTAATGATGGAAGGTATGCCTAGGTTATTATAGTAAAAATGAAGTCCTTGTGTGAAGTATGCAAGGTTCTTACACAAGGCTTCTCAGAGTCGTCGATGATGCTTACCTGATGTGTTTGCTTTCGCTTTCTGATTGAATATACAAGCAGGCCGAATCGTAGTACAGTTTACATTGCGTCTAACTTGGCAATTACAATGCTCTTTCTGTGTTTGTTTTCAGAAATATATTTACTTGTTTAGTTAGGGAAATCTTGAAATTAATGTGCACACCATAGAGCTAATAAAAAATTAATGCCATTAATTATGTTCTAATCCCTTATTTACTCTCTTGTTTCAGGTACCGGAGGTTATCGACAGTGAAGGTGGGCATTCCACTCCATCGTATGTTACTTCAATAGAGCCAGAAACTAGTGAACGGTATGCATGGGCCCTGCAGCGTTTGGAAGGTCTTGGCAAATGTGTCGCAGTTGGAGAACTCGCAAAGCGCAGGATGTCTAGACAACCATCCGATGTTGTCTTGAATATAAAAAAGTTGATTGGGAAACAATTTGATGACTGCTGGGTGCAAGGAATGAGGAAAAGAGTCCATTTTAGCATCGTTGAAGGGGGGAGAGGAGAAGCTTGCGTCCAAATCCATGGAGTGAGATTTTCTCCTGTTGAAATTGCCAGTGTTATTTTTGCAAAGCTCAAGGATGTCGTCCTGATGTACCAATTTCATCACGAATTAAAAGCGGTGATAAGTGTGCCCATTTTCTTCAGTGAACAGCAAAGGGAGGCCATATTGTTGGCGGCAAACAAAGCGGGCTTAACGGTATTGCAGTTAATAGATGAACCAACGGCGGCCGCTCTTTCTAGAGCAACAATTAAAGAAGGTACCATTGTTGTTTTCGACATGGGTGCTGGATCATACACAGTCTCCGTACTTGGTGTGTCTGGCACAAACATTGAGGTAATTTTTCAGTTACTCATTCTTGTGTTGTCGCCCATAATTAACTGATTACGCTTATTTATGTTTGTAAAGCTTTTAGTCTTTTGTTCTGCATGAATGAGCAGGTCAAAAGTCAATCTGCTGACCCCATTGTTGGTGGGGATCAATTCGACGATATAGTTCTGTACTACTTTATTACGCAGATCAGAAATTTTCATCAGGTCGACATTCGTTCAGATAAATATGCTATGATGTTACTTGCTGAAGCAGCGGAGCAAGCTAAAGTGGAATTATCAACCCAACACGAAGTCACAATTTCCGTGTCATGATGATGCTAGCGTCTCTATTTCTCGGGCAGAGTTCGAGAGGTTGGTTCACAACATGGTAGAACAAATTCAATACAAGTGTTGTGTGGTCCTAAAAGAGGCTAACATCACTGACAAGCGTATCAATGAAATTGTATTGACTGGGGGGATGACAAGAGTTCCCATGATACGGAGAATCATATATGACATATTTGGCAAGAATCAGGGTACAAGCGTGAACCATGATGAAGCCGTGGTTATCGGTTCAGCAATACAAGCTGCTCTCATTGTGGAAGATCAGCGTGAGATGAGAGAAGACATGATTCCACTCTCTATTGGTGTTGAGTCAGAAGGAGTTTTCATGCGGGTTATTCCAAGGCATACCACAATTCCTACTAAACGGACGGTTAAAATTCCTTCATGGTGTGCATATGGTGAAAGTCTGCATCTCAAAGTTTTCCTTGGGGAGCATGTCATGGTTAGCCATAACACATTCCTAGGAGAGGTAGAGCTAGTCAACAATCGATGGTCGGGTCAAGGATCAGTTCATTTTGAGCTGACTTTTGAAGTTGACACAGACTACATGGTCAAAGTAACTGGCAGAAACCCTGGTGACGCCGACGGCGCGAGGAAAGCAACATTCAAGGTCTTCAATGTACGCGAGATCGTTATGTCTAAGGGCAAAGTCGGCGAGTCCGTTAGGAACGCCTTGCTTGGCTGGTCAATGCAAGGCATAGAGATCCATGCTCGTCTGGTAAACATGGGAAAGCATATAGCGAATACCCTCCGCGACGTCTTGTCGGCGAGAAAAGATGAGGTCCCAAAGAACATCTATGATGATGCGGCAAAGGCCCTGGCTGATTTGCTGACGGTGTTGCATGCGGGCAGCAAAGACGCTGCGCACATCCATGTGCTGAAAGATAAGATGCTCGCTGCTGCGGCAGAGGAAGAGAAGCTGATGACGGATTGGAACCCACCGTCAACGTCTCGTCATAGAGGTTCTTATTCAGATTATTCAGACTATGAAGATGAGGAAGAGAGTGCATAGCCCATGTTCGGACAAGTAACCAGTTAAGCGCCAGACTAGGGCGTTCGCATGTATATATACATTCATTTACATAGGAGAAAAAGTTTCCAGGACCACATAGGTTTTTCTGCTAGATGTGTAGCAATGTGAGATACTTTTTTTACTTAATTTGCAACGACTTTTTAAAATCTATTACTGTCATTTTAGAGTTAATGATCAAGTGTCAATGCACATCACCATGCGAATGTATCTATATCTCTACTCTAGTTGCAGACTGATGAGTAACCTCAAGTTAATTTGGCAATGGAAAATCCCTGTGATAACCAACAGACGACTGATGCAACAAGAGCAACGTACTTCAAGAAATGCATCTACAGATATAAGAAGGCTGTTTTATCATGTACAATTAGAATATGTGATTAATTAACAAAGAAAAAAATGTTGTGCAGGCAAGCTTGCCCTCTATCTTGTGCCTCTGTTCTTCGCAACTGATCTTCGTCAGCAGCGCAACTTGTTTGTGACAAAAATTTCCTGTGATGCTATATATATATATACAAACCAATGTTGTTGTGTTGGAATCTTTTTTTTGTTACAATGTAGCCTTCTCAAGTCCTTGTGACATGTGAATATGTGATAAATCATGTATCTCGGTATCTAATCTGTCACACAAAAATTCACCCCAGAGGCACATTTGATGACAAGCTTCCTGCTGCTGCAACCACCGCAAACACACCGAGAGCGAGCAACCGCAACGGCCTACCAGCAGCAGCACCACTCCTGAATTTTCCTTGTATTCGTTTAATCAAAGGAAATGCACTATCTTCTGGATTTATAGGTAGAGCCTGCAGTAACGAAAATAAGGAACAATAGCCATTTGCGGTAAATAATTTGAAGTCAACCTTGAGCAATAGCCATGGTAAACAAGAATAGTCACCGATGAATTTGTACTCTACAACACATTTTTTTACTCATATATATTTCCTTGATTGCGAAACGCACAACTGAAAAGAAAAGGAAACTTGCCTCGCCAACAAGAATAACCCCAATTGTTTGTGCTTGAGTGGCACATTCTCTTGCCAGCCTCCTTAGTTTCACACGGTCATAGTACTGCTCCATCAGCATCTAAAAATTATCAGAGGGGAGAAAAAATGAGCGAGATGTTCGACGCGAGCTGCAAAATAGAGCATCCTGCCGGAGCTTACCCAGTCATATCGATCTAGATGCTTCTGCAGTGTTGTGCTCAGCTCTGAGTTGATCTTCTCCAAAGCTGCACTTTCATACTGCCCAAGTGAAAAATGCAATGATGTTAACTGTAAAGCGTGCACATATATACCACATCATATAACTGTTAAGAAACTTGAATGGCTTTTATTTCTGATTTAAAACTGCATCCACAGTTGTAAGTATTTTACAACATTCAATGAATATTGCCGATTCTATACCTCAGATGTACCGGAAGCTGTGTTCGTTTTACTCTGCTCATGTTTCTGTAAAAATTGCATATGGCTCTGAAAAGAAAGGAAATTAGCAACGTTAAGTGAAAATTTTGGGGGTTCATCATAGGAATCATATGTCAATAAGAACCTTTAAACAACTTGTGAGCTCGCAATAATCTTTCAGCCCTGGCCATCTGGTCAAAGATTTAAGCTTTTCTAGGACATCTTCACGATCACTATCCGGCTGCAAATAGCATGAACTTGGGGTATGCACAAGCTTAACATAGTGACAAGCACAAACAGCGAAATAGCGGAAATCGGTCCGGCACCTGAATAAAGTCAAGCTTCAAAAGAAGTTTCCGGTACGCAAAATGTCTTTGAGCACCACACAATCGCCAGTAAAGACACATCTGATCCTGTGATCGACAATGTGAGCTTATTAGATTGAATCAAACTTCTACCTCAGTGACAACAACATAAGTAAAACTTTATCGAGCACTCACATTCTCGATTGTGCGGATTGTACTCTCAGGCAAGTACCGCATTATCGAGATTTTGTCAGCCCCAATCCCGTTACTTAAGCCGCGTTCGGATTCCCTCCGCTCCGCGGCTCCGTGCCGGAGCGGAGCGGCAATCCAGTTATAATCTGCGGAGTTGATTAAACGCTGCTCCGCGCGCTCCGCTCCGCGGAGGATGGCTGAACAGGGCCTTAATCCATCATTGTCGTCGATGGCGCCCCTAATTCCACTAATTCCTCCATCCTCACCGTCGGCAATGGTAGCCTCAACTCCACCCCTTGCTCCGCCGTCGTCGTTGACGGGAGTCCCACTTCCAATATTTCCACCGTCGCCGCCATCATCAATGGCGGCCTGCTGCAAGAGAGAGCAGGTCCCATCGTGCCTGGTGTGGCGCAGCATGATGTGCTCGACGATGCGTGCGTCAGACTGGTCCCAATCGATCAGTCTGAACGTCAAGAACAACGGTGATCAATTGTTTGGTGCTTTATATATAAAGCAGGGCGAAAGCCTTTTTGGGTAAACATATGGATGGATGGGTCGGTCAGAGGCGCACGCACCGGTGATCTTGCTGCGGAGAAGAGCTCGGGGATGGCGATGTGGAGCACGCGGTGCTGGAACTCCAGGTGAGCTCGGAGGCGGTGCTCGTCGGTGAGGGCGCGGCGCAAGCTGAGGTCGTGGAAGAGTCCGGTCCGCAAGCCGATCAGATGGACCCCGCCGGCGAGGAGTGGCCTCGCGCCCCCGTGGATCCCGTGCCGGTCGGTCGCGCCTACATTATTATTTCAGTTTGGTTGAAGCGGATTGAGACCGGTCACCGGGACCGGAGAAGACGACGAAGAGAGAGGGGACGGAGGACGTACGGTCGATCACGCAGTCCTCCGGGCGGAAGCGAACCATCGATCTCCTCTCAGCAGCGGCGGCGGCGGCGGGAGCAGAGCGGCTCCTCGCTATAATATTTGGTGGGAACCGTAGGATCGTTTGATTGTTCTCTCGTTTACAGACATAAAAAAAAAACACAAACTTTAGGGAAGGCCACGCCGGCGGCGGCCACATCCAGTCCAGCTCCAGACCGACCAGGCTTCTACGCCGCCGCCCTGCTCCTTCTCCGTGGTGGTCGGCCATGGCCAAGTTCCTCCCGCCGTTCTTCCGCCCCCGAGAAAAAGGTGCGCGCGACGAATCAACCCCCAACACCTTGTTTTCCTGCATCGGATGCAATTCAAGTGTTGAAGAACAAACACTAAAATCAACAATCGGACATGAAAATTGATTGTTTATATACCACTCCTATATGGTTGTAGAATTTCATTGCAAATGAGAACAAGTACACACCTCAGATTGGATAGATTTTGTTCACAGGCTTCATGGCAAATTTGCAAGCGATTTTCTATGGTATTTAAATTGGGGAATTGCCGAATTAGCAAGGTACCAATCTATTGCGAAACGATGAACACAAGTATTGGGCTCTAGCCTTTTTGTTGTTATTAAGCTGTTGCAGTATGCACGTTCCGCTAATAATCCATAGCAGTAGTACCTTTTAAGAGTTTTGCTGTAATTGATTGTGATATCTTTTTTCAGATGATGATGATAAGAGCGAAGAACGGGTGCGTACCGGTGCTTCTCTCTCTCTCTCAAAACAACGACTGCGATTCTTATTACATTGTTTCATGATGGTCACGTTCTCGATCACGGCTGCTGCTGACCTCTCTCAAACCCGATCGGTGTTGCAGAAATATGACCCCCGGTGCGGCATGCCCAGAGAGGAGTTTGAATGGCGACAGTCCCGGGCCGACACGATGGACAAACGTATGCCCCAGGTGGTGGAGGACTTGGACGTCTTGCTGCGGAGGCTACGCCCCCACTTCGCCGACGATCCCGACGCCCTCAAGAAGTGGGAAGAGTATGAGAAAGATGTCCGTTATGCGTTTACGCATAGCCTCCGTGGCACCCTCATTTCGCCTGTGTGCATCCCGGTTAGTGATCCAAGACCCACATACTCTCTACTTCTCTTGCACATACTAGCAATAATTTGAATGTGATGTTCGGTTTCAGAACTCCGTTGCATGCGAGCAGCTGATGCAGAGGAAGGCCTGGTCAAGGACCGTTGCTGGCAGGGTATCTGGGGGGCTGGAAAAGCTTAAACAGGCAGCCACAGTGCCTTCACCAAGGAACAAGAGAACAATTAGAGTCGGGGCAATCGTTGCCGGTGTCGCCGCCGCGTTTGCTCTCGGGCTTGCCCTCGGACGAACTCAACTCCATGGAAGCAGGACCAATCAAATGGGAACCTAGCTAGCGCCAACACTGCTGGTTCTCTGAAGTTCATATTCCCGCGCTTATTCAGTTAGTCATATTCCCCACGATATAGGAACAAATTCAGTTAGCCATTTTCCCGCAAAAAAGAGAGAGATTCAGTTAGCCATTTTCCAGCATAAATAATAATGTAATTTTCTATTGACCTCTTGTGGATCTCCGATGATGGTCTGCACATTGTGTTGATGTGCTTCTTCTGGGCATGAGAAGAAATGTAGCAATGACATATGATCTACGAGTCTGCTTCATTGATATGTACATTTCTGTCCAGGTGACCGAATAGACTGACAGTTAGAGGTCGCCTAGTTGTTTCCACTATGGGCAGTGAAAAGAACAGCCGCATTTTTCCTTTTCAAAGATTCGTCTGAAAGTCGAGTTCCGTCGTGATCTCATGAAGTTTTCCCAAGTTAAACACTGAAATTGCTATAGTTTTGCTGGAATGGAACTTACTTCTGCCTTAAGGTCCATTGCATATAACGGCAATTAAACTACTAGTACACCTAAGATTCAGAAAGAAACAAAAGAAAGAGCAGTACACCAGTACACGTGATAAGATTACTTATGATTTATGAACGATCAAAAGTGACGGATAAACATAAAAGAAGAAAGCCAGCGATATTCCATCAAATTAAAAGCGAGATTGCTTCTCTCAAAATTACATTTTGCACAAGAAGAAGTAATCATCATGAGCAACACGCACATGCTATCTACAGGAACAATCAGCCATGTCGATCAACAAAGTATGTAGTTCCTTTCAGCTAAACCTAGAGGAAGATTGATTTGCAGAATTCCAGTGCGCATCATCTTGGTCATCCTCCTCTGGTCCTTGAGACAACGGGGATGTGCCTAGCCTGAAGGAGCCAGCATTTCCTATATCACACATGTACAATGGATGAACTTCATGTTCGCACGCCCTGGAGGAGCGACAGGGATGTTTGCAAGCCATCTTGTACTGAAATAAAAATGAATAACCATAACTTGGAACTTTGTATTGATTGCAGCTGAGAGGAAAGAAGAAAACGTGTGAAATATATGTGTATTACCTCGACGGAGGACCTCAAAGTGGAGGCTTCTCCCAGTCGCCTGGGGGAGTTGAAAGCACTTCGTCATCATGGTTGGTCAGGAGAGCTAGCTCATTCTCCTGGAACAATCAACACAATTAAACAAATCATGCACGCAAAGGCAACACAATTGATCTCATGCAATGATATGTACCTGTTGGATGGCTTTGCATGGGGCTCTCTGTGGCTGCACCACTCCTTTTGGTCCAGTCCTGATTTGAGGGCGGGGAAAAGTAGGAGGCCACATCATCATAAAAGGATGGATCTTATAAATGTCTCCGTCACGGGGCGCCAATGTGTACACCTTCTTTGCTGCCCTGCTCGCAATGTCCAAGTAGATGACAGCACCACATATCTCCAAGAATACGAACTTCGCATTGTCCCCGACTGCGTGCAGCTTGACACCAGCATTCTTTCCATTCTCCAGTGCTCGAGTTGGCATCCTCATACTTGCACACACCTCACGCAGACAAATAGTATGAACTAACAACCAGTTGTCACAGATACTGTTGTTGTTGCTGCTGCGTTTGTGGGTGCATAGCCAAATGTGGAGCTCAAGTCCTTTTAGATGAACAAGATTAAATCCAGTATCATCTGCTTGTGATAGCCCAAGATTGTCATACTTGTACTCGAGCCCATCTGGCAGGTTGATCACCGAGAGAACCGAGGAGAACAAATCCAACACAAGAATCTTGGGTCCGGAGCACACGATGTAGAGCGTATGGTTGGTGAGTAGAATCATGTCTCCGGAAGTTGACACGGGGGCCCCCTCTAATGTAGACGATGTATGGTTCTTCCATACACCATCTAGTAATTCATAAAGGTGGACAGTGGTTCTGTCCTGGCTAATCACTAATGTCGCGCCCAAGGATGATTGGTCATTGAGGACATACTCGGTAGCACGGTAGAAATGCCTCGCTCAAGGTCAATGGGTGGAAGTGGCGGTAGGGTTACAATGTTCCTCTCAAGGTTCAACGGATTGAGTAGAACATCTGTAGTACTATTGACCCGATGAAATCTGCCGAGAAGACAACCGTTCTGAGAACCATAAAGGACACCCCACGTATCGAAGAAGGCATCGAAGGCCGATCTGGCACGGCAGATCATGGTGTCAAGCCGCTGGATGTGAGGCATCACCATGAACTTTGGGAGCGAGAATTTCCAACATTTCAGGTCGAAGCCAAGGAGAGGTGGGTGGAGATTGCGGAAGCGGTGAAGTAAAGCAGGGTCAGAGGTGATGTTGAGCCAGCGCTTGCACACGAGGGCGGCACGGACGAGGCTGGCAGGGAAGACTAGACGAACCAGGATCTCGCGGAGGAGGTCATCGTCATCAAGAACCATGGTAATATTTGGCGATGGTGGGGACCTAGGGTAGAACAGAATTATGAAAACGTTAGAAATAACGCAGGTGAAGGCCAATGTGAGCAAGTATGTTTGTCTCCATTGAAGAACTCTAATTATATTATTGTAAATGTAAAATCTCATGGTTTCTACAACGTACATTAGAATATAATCCTCTTAACTAGGCGATCCCGGATGCCGATTAAGTTAACACTTGTTAGTAGAAATATGGGAAGGAGCACTATCCCTGGCCTTTGATCACTACAAGAAATATGTCAACTTATGACCTTCTGTCAGTGACCCTCGAAGAATTGGTCATAAATTTATGACCATTTTAGACCAATTGGTCAAAAGCTATCTGGGGGGTTCCAAACCCTAAACCATTGCGACCCTTTTGGTCAGAAAGGTCATAATTTCCTTACACGAAATGGTCATAAAGCAAACAGCGCTAGTCCGCTGCCTTATTTCTAGTTGTTAACGACCAATATAGATAGTCATAGCCTTGTAAATTGTGGTGGGTTGCGATGACTAGGCGCCATCTCATCAGTTTTGCCTATGTGTCATGTCCATGTGGCAGTTTTTGCCCTAGGTTGTGAAGCAACCTATATTTCTGTCATTCCCAAAATTCCCAAAAAAATCTCATAAATTCTTTGGGTCATATCTTCGTCAAATATGTAAAAACCTTCCTTTTCTAGTTCAAAAATAATTAAAAAATATTTATTTTCCTATTCTGTTCAGAACAACAGTTTGTGAAGGAAGTACCACTTTGGCATGTCCAAATGGTATCCATTTTCTACAGTGCTTTCCTATGCCCAAATAACCATCCTCCACCAAATGCCAACTCAATCCATTCATTATTTTGAGCCCAGCTTCAACATTCGTATTTATGTCCAGTGTGGTACTTTGTAAAGCAAGTACCACCTAGGCTCCTCCTTTTGAGGTGAAAATTTGTGAAGACGGTATTCTTAGTAACTGGTCATCCTCAGCCAAAACTCACGCCCATTAGCCATGTGCATTTCCCGTACCGCAAATCAAACACTTGGTTGCTTATTCATGTTTGAGCATCGATCGGTCTCCTCGTGAGAATCTTATGTTGTGATTTTCTTCCTAGCACCTACCTGGGGAGTGCCCAACCCACTAGACATGCCTAGGCCGCCCAGAACACATGGCAACGCCACGGTCACGCGGTGACCACGTGGCGGGCATGCCAGCTTACGCGCTCTAGAGTTGGGGCCCTCGGCCACCGTCCAAACCTCGATGTCTCGCCATCAAACCATGTATTTCTGATTAAATAGATACTTATTACCTAGAAATGATTTTTGGAAAAAATAAATAGCAAACTATGAGGCAGCTGCAGTTCAAATTTGACCCGCTTCCAACTGAATCGGCGGGAATTTGTCTTTTTCACCAGAGGTGGATCAAAACTTTTGGCACCCAACCATTTTGTCAGTTGTGCATTAAATATGTCCTAATATTTTATAAAATGATTTGGTACAATGTTGCAACAAATATATGGTAGGTCCTTCACAAAAAAAACTCATTTCAGGCACTCAGAAAATGGAAAATGGTTTTTTCGTCCAAAGAAAATGAAAACTTTCTTAGGCAACATTGTTTGCCATTCCAATATGCACCTTTGTGCATAATATGAGATCATTTGAACAAACTATGCCATGAATGTGGCCATAAGATTGATCATTTGACTTGAAAGCCATGAATCTTCACACTTGATAGCTCATTTTTTAGAACACTTTTTTAATATAATTACCGTATTACAAGTTTATTATTTTTCCTGGAAACTTGGTCACATATAATGACACAATGTGAAGGTTTTCCAATTTTTTGATTTTTTTGAATTTTTTATGCCCGTTTCAAAATGCGGTCAAAACGGCGGGCTTGACCGTTCCTAGCTAGTGGTTGAATCTTGGAAAACTTTTGATGTTTCTCTGATTAAATAGATACTTATGTACCTAGAAATGATTTTTGAAAAATAAATAGCAAACTATGAGGCAGCTGCAGTTCAAATTTGACCCGCTTCCAACTGAATCGGCGGGAATTTGTCTTTTTCACCAGAGGTGGATCAAAACTTTTGGCACCCAACCATTTTGTCAATTGTGCATTAAATATGGTATAGTATTTTATAAAAATGATTTGGTACAATTTTGCAACAAATATATGGTAGGTCCTTCACAAAAAAACCTCATTTCGGGCACTCGAAAAATGGAAAATGAATTTTCCGTGCAAAGAAAATGAAAACTCCATTTGGCAACATTGTTTGGAATTCCAAGATGCACCCTTGTGCACAATATGAGATCATTTGAACAAACTATGCCATGAATGTGACCATGAGATTGAGCGTTTGGGTTGAAATCCATGAATCTTCACACATGATAGCTCATTTCTGAGAACACTTTTTTAAAATAATTACCGTATTACAAGTTTATTATTTTTCCTGGAAACTTAGTCACATATAATGACACAATGCGAAGTTTTTCCAATTTTTTGATTTTTTTTGAATTTTTTATACCCGTTTCAAAATGCGGTCAAAACGGCGGGCTTGACCGTTCCTAGCTAGTGGTT